CTAATAATTCCTTCACTCAAGAGAAACAGCTCAACCATCAATCAAGTATTTTAACATTAGAGATGTTTTATTTCTTTATCAAAATATTCCAGAGAAAATATTCCTCGATTAACACTATATTATTTAAACTACTACTTTTTTATAACTTTAGTTTAAGTTTTATTTTGTTTGTTTGAAGTTAAGCACACAGCTACAAAATGGGCTATCTGTGCTCTGCCCACCACGGGTATCGAAACCCGGTTTCTAGCGTCGTAAATCCACGGACATACTGTTTTGCCACTGGGGGGGGGGGCTTTAATTTTTGAAAGCTAATAAAATTAAGTCTCCAAAAGACCATCAAGCATTGCAAAATTAAAAGTAGGATAAAATCTTAAAAATAATTTGTAAATCATCCCTTCATTCACTATTTTCTGTACACGAAAATGGATGGCATTGTTCATTTCAAATATTTTTCAGATAAAATATGTTGAAGCAAAAAAATTATCACACAGTCTTTAAAGTATTAAAGGTCTGGTATTAATAGAGGTTAACATTTTGTTTTCACTAGGCTATGAGACATACGTCTTTATATTAATATAATTATTGTAAAGAACTGTACAACAGAGCCAGTTTTAATAAGAAAGACATAATATTTTACGTTTGTGCAGAATCACAAACATTGTTAGATCAAAATTTTAAAAACCTCTGTAATAAGTCGATCACCTGCTACGTAATTCCCAATTTTCTCACCTGCTGTGCTTGCCTTCTTTTGTTAGGAGGAAAAGTGAAATATAACACCTGCTTATTACACCTCGTTAATCCACTTCATTCGTAAGATAAAGTAAGCAGAGCTAGAAAATCTTTTATCATAAATAAGTACTTTTTCTACGAATATTGAAAACAATTATATCACATTATCATCTTGGTATTAGAGGCACACTGTGAAGTCCATGAGTGGAGTGAGACTATAATTCACTTCTTTTGAAAAGTTCACCACGAGTTTTTGAATTACAAGTAAATTTTCCATACTTCAGGTTTCCAGAACTACTAAAATATTTACAATGCCAGAAGAGTTAGAACATCTCTTTACAATACTATGGTAATATAAGAATATTCCCACAGCGAAAAAAATCGTAACAAGAATAATAATGCTAATTCTGGCTTGATTGCGCTGTGAAAACCCTATATATGTATAGGGCGGGGCGTGACCTTGTTGTACCGGACTTTGAAACTAAGATTCTTTGATTCGCATCCCGCTGCCGCAAAATCACGCTCCGCACTTTGGAGCTGTAAGCGTGTTAAAAGAATGAGGGTCCAATCCCACTCCACTATTCGATTGGAGAAGTTCAGCAGTTGGCTGTGTGAATAATTGCCTTCCTTCTAATATATCAGTCCAAAATTAAGGACGTTGACAGCTAGTGTAGCATTGTATGAATATCGAAACAATCGATGTTCATATAATCCTTAGTCAATGTGAGGTGAGGCACCAATACAAAAAGTTGAGTTTTGTTTTATTCTTAAGTTTGATATGACAATATTGACTCTGTTTTGGTACAGGCACAAATACATTATTGCCCCATCTCTATCGTAATGTGATACGTTTTTAAGTAGCTACAATTTCTAAAATACTTTAATTGAAGCTTTTAATTTATATAGCAATTGAGGATGCTGAAACTAGAAACTTTTTGCTCACTTTTTTAACACCTTATAACGTTCTTGAAATAGCTATTTGGCGGAACATTACATTTATATTTTGAGTACAGCGTTTATTTTTTCTAAAAATGAAATATGATCACGTGCAATGCATTCAAATTGCATATTTATATATATTCAATAATTAAGTGGGTTTTTTCATTTCTCATAGTCCTTGCGGACCGTTGAGCCGATGGCAGATCTTGCTCTGCCATCGTTTCTATAGCTGTTTCTTACGTCAAGGATGCAACCCACTTGACAGCCTTCCCTCTTACCGTGAAAGGGCGAGCATGTTTGGTGTGACAGGGATTCGAACCCGCGACCCTCACATTGCGAGTCGAGTGCCTTAACCACCTGGCCATGCCGGCACATCCATACATACACACATATATATACACACACATACACACACACCTATATATATATAGATATAGAGAAAGCTACACCAAAGTTTTGGAAATGAAACTCAAAACTAAAAGCTGTAACTCACAATAAAGTTCAAAATTATAATATGCACTGAATTACTGTGTGTGTATAATGTTTGGGAACGTTTGGTGATATCAGTTACAAATGTGAGTAAACTCAGTGTTGTGTATTAAAAAAACAACAATTTACTTTGAGAAATATTAATCTGTAGTCTCTTTGAATTACCATACAGATTTTATATACCTTTACTTTCGTGTTAACATCATTGTGTTGACAGTGTTTATATACTTTGACTTGCTTATTGACATTATCGCGTTGACAGAGATTATATACCTTAACTTGCTTGTTAACAACACAGTGTTGACAGAGTTCCTATCCTTTGTATTCTGCTTGTTAACGTCATCGAGTGTACTTAATGTCAACTGAGACTTTTCACAAGCAAAATGATAAAAAGAAAAATATGGCTAAAGTTACAAACCGTCTGTGTTGAAGTTTCTTATATAAAGTATTTTAATCTTATTTGTGTTTATGTGTATTCTAATTCGTATTAATCCTTTTGTGGTTCATCATATCATGAATTGGTGTTGATGTGACAGCTCAATAAGTTACGGTGCACGAGACTGATAAAACTATGAATTTTTTTATAAGTATTCTGGAGAAGAATTTGAAACACTAATAGGTTCAGAACCTTGAGCTTCTTGATATGTATTCTGGATAAGAATTTGAAACCCAGATAGGTCCAGAACCTTGAGCTACTTGATAAGTATTCTGGAGAAGAATTTGAAACACTGATAGGTTCAGAACCTTGATCCTCTTGATATGTATGCTGGATAAGAATTTGGAACATAGATAGGTCCAGAACCTTGAGCTACTTGATACTTGTTCTGGAGAAGAATTTGAAACACTGATAGGTCCAGAACCTTGAGCTACTTGATACTTATTGTGGAGAAGAATTTGAAACACTGATAGGTCCAGAACCTTTGACAGAAGTCTCGACCTAAAACTCAAGCAACATCACGAATGAAAAGAGAACGGTTGTTCTCATGAAGCCAGATTGAAAGAAAGTAAAAGATATAGCCCAAAGGTGACATTAGCCTCGTTGTAGCTGATAACAAATCAGAGCTCATGCATTACCGAAGAATTTATCACACGAAAACAAGGCATCTAAGCCTTGCACGACGTCGAGACGAAGTCAAGCAACTCGTTGCATTAAAGTCTTACTTACACCAATAAATTCGTAATTATTATTTTATTTAGCTGCTTGATAAATAAGTGTTTCGGAAAATTTCTTGATAATACTAAAATTAGGATTGGAAGTACAAGAAACAAATTAAAACTTAAACATATAATAAAGCTCTCTAATGAAGAGACTTAATGGAGCGATTGAGAAGATTCTTCGTCAGTAGACTACCCAGCTAAGACGTGCTGTTTGAGTACATGAATATTCATGTCTTTCTTGAAGGATTTAAGTCAAATGACAAGTAATTAACTACACAGTGTATAAATGTGTGGAACTGTAGGAGGTCTCAGGGGATAATAAGGAATCCTGTATTACAAGTAGCAGGATATTATCTTGGTAATTACAATTGAACCCGAACTAATCTCCCTTCTTTGGATTGAAGAAAACATATATACCGGAAATTAAAAAATAAGTATTTGGAAATACCACACTTTGCAGTAAAATCCAATTATTTCATGATGTATTTTTGATACTTTTGGTAACCGAAGTCTGGCTTATACTGAACACAAACATTGATCATAAGCGTACAAAGTTCGCTGTGAAATATAATTACCAGTTAAAATGAAATATTACGCCTGTTTTAAGTCAAACATGAAGTATAAAAGACACGTTTTTATTAGGAACAAAGCCTGATGTTTACAGTGTACGAAAAGCGAATAATATGAAGTATAAAAGACACATTTTTATTAGGAACAGAGCCTAATGTTTACATTGTACGGAAAGCGAATAATATGAAGTATAAAATACACGTTTTTATTAGGAACAAAGCCTGATGTTGACAGTGTACGGAAAGCGAATAATATGAAGTATAAAAGACACGTTTTTATTAGGAACAAAGCCTGATGTTTACAGTGTACGGAAAGCGAATAATATGAAGTATAAAAGACACGTTTTTATTAGAAACAAAGCCTGATGTTTACAGAGTACGAAAAGCGAATAATATGAAGTATAAAAGACACGTTTTTATTAGAAACAAAGCCTGATGTTTACAGAGTACGAAAAGCGAATAATATGAAGTATAAAAGACACGTTTTTATTAGGAACAAAGCCTGATGTTTACAGGTACGGAAAGCGAATAATATGAAGTATAAAAGACACGTTTTTATTAGGAAAAAAGCCTGATGTTTACAGTGTATGGCACGTAAAATATATGAAATATAAAAACGTGATTTTACTAAGAATAAGGCCTGTTGTTTACAGTCTATGGAACCTGGATCATATGAATAATAAATGTTGGATCATAGGAAGTGTGAATCTGGTTTAAACAAAATGTGATGTAAATAATGAAGGAATATTTGTAAGGAAAATATAATATATATTTTAAATAGGAGTCTTGAGTCCTGAAATTCTATGCTTATTTATTTAGTTACCCATACATGAAATGAATAGACAAACAAACTTCCAAGACATAAACGTAAGTGTTGAATTTCTGTGTTATTCAAACAATAGCTTCACCATACACATACTCCTTAAAGTTGTGTTCGAATCACAAAGTACAGGCGACATCTTGTTTTTATTGTTTTATTCAGCTGACATGTTATTCTGTTACTCCAACACACATTTTAGACGTCTTAAGCACTGAATTCAGCAATTAACTGTTCGCATGCTAAATGACTTCATTTCATATATATTACGCAAAAGTCGATAATATTAGGGACTCACGTTATCCCATTCGTGAATCTTTTATCATCCCGTGGAACTTGTGTTGCACTTCCCCTAAATCTACTGATACCCACAAATGCGGAGCTTGTGCTGGACTTCCCTTAAAGCTACTGAGACCTAGAAACTGTGGAACTTGTGTTGGACTTCCCTCAGAGCTACTGAGACCTACAAACTGTGGAACTTGTGCTGGACTTCCCTTAAAGTTACTGAGACCTACAAAATGTGGAACTTGTGCTGGACTTCCGCCAAAGCTACTGAGATCTACAAACTGTGGAACTTGTGCTGGACTTCCCTCAAAGCTACTGAGCTCTAGAAACTGTGAAACTTGTGCTGGACTTCCATCAAAGCTACTGAGACCTACAAACTGTGGAACTTGTGCTGGACTTCCCTCAAAGCTACTGAGATCTACAAACTGTGGAACTTGTGCTGGACTTTCCTCAAAGCTACTGAGACTCACAAACTGTGGATTTTTTTCTGTACTTCTATGAACGTTATTGTTTGCTTTCCAATCTATAACCCACTATGCAGATGTAAAAGGATAAACATCTACATATTCATAACCTTCGTTTACTTTGTTCAAAATAATTGCTCATCCTCGTCAACATTACTTTTAACATTAAGTTTAAATTTACATACTTTGAATGGAGGAACTTTGGAAGATCTTTTAAAGTTACTATTTATAATATAAAACTATAAAAATAAATCACAAGTGTTAAAAGTTGCTTTGAAGAGAAATGAAAGCTTTCATAACGGAGATGAGCTCATATTCGGCCCAACTTGAGTAAAAACATAAATATTACAAGTAGAAAATAAGGACATGATAGGAAATACAGAAATATGCGCCTGGCGTCCCTTTTTCATACACAATATCTTTGTGTTCAATGTCCGATCCAGCCTAAAATATTTCAATGTTTTATTATGGCAAATGTCATTTATACAAAGATGGCGTGAGTCATGTTTCGTGAAATGAAAGATTTGAATCAAGTGTTTATAGTTTAAAATTTTAAATGATATAAATGAAACGACAAAAATATTCTAAGGCTCTGAAGACTGTAATATCAAGATATTATATAAAAGTTATTAGTTGACACGTCAAAAATTCTGTAAACGTTATTTTTATACGTCTGACGTGCAAGACGGCTGTTTCATCGCTGTGTTCCCTTTACCGATCTTTCATATCATTAGCTATATTTATCAGTAACGAAATATTCAACACTGTTACACTAAAGAATAGAAAATGCTTAGATGTTACATATTATCATTAGAACAACAATGCAGATAATTAACATTTTCTATAGTTGTTTCTTGAATAGTTTGATATATTCGTTCAACGTTTCGTTACGTGAGCTTAGAAACCACCAATCCTGACATATTGAAGACGTAATGTGAAAGTAACAAGTCAATGTTGACGGCTTTCGTAACTTGTTTACAAAACCAAGTCCCCTTCCTAGTTGCTCAGAGATAAGTTCTGAATACTTATAACGCTGAAAATCGAGTTAAGATACCAGTGGTGGGGACAGCATAGATAGCCCGTTGTGTAGCTTTGCGCTCAACAACAACAATAACAACAAAAAAAAAAGACTAGGATATTTTGTTAATAAAAGTAGTTACTTGATAGCAAGTAACAGATATTTTGTTAATAAAAGTAGTTACTTGATAGCAAGTAACAGATATTTTGTTAATAAAAGTAGTTACTTGATAGCAAGTAACAGATATTTTGTTAATAAAAGTAGTTACTTGAAAGCAAGTAACAGATATTTTGTTAATAAAAGTAGTTACTTGATAGCAAGTAACAGATATTTTGTTAATAAAAGTAATTACTTGAAAGCAAGTAACAGATATTTTGTTAATAAAAGTAGTTACTTGATAGCAAGTAGCAGATATTTTGTTAATAGAAATAGGTAATTGATAACCAGTAGCAGATATTTTGTTAGCAGGAAGAGGTAATTGATAATAGTAATAATCCAGGAATACATCAAGTTAATTTGGATAAAGAGGCGGAACAACCGCTATGTATAAATTCCATTTTAGTCTTGGGGAAAGGACAATCACTAGAGCTAAAGTCTTAGGAATTTGGGAATGTGTTTGTTATTTAAACTGAGAAAGTGTCTTTACAGGTAACATTTATATGATTTTCATTCACTTCCGAATTACAGAAAAAGTAATAGCCGAATAACATCTAGGAAAAAAAGTCTTAGAAACTGTGGATTTGTAAACTAAATTACAAATAAACTTTACCCAATACAAATTAAATCAATTTCTTAATCAAATCTTTTATTTGGTTTCTGATTTCCATAAATAAGAAAAATATATTTGAAAGCGGGTTCTATTGAAGAACTTTTTTGGTTTTCAATGAAAATTCAGCATTCACTAAAATTACAAAACATTCTATAAATTCACAAAGCAATTAACCTGAATAAAGTTTATAAAAAACACTGTAAAGTGAAATGTAAGGTAGGCTTAGCAACGTATAAAAACTAATAAACAAGTCGTACTGTGTATCAGAAACATTATTTAAATTACACACTATTCTAGCGGCAAAAGTATGTATATGCTTTTGTAAGAATTTTATATAATTAGCCCGGTAGTTTCTCTGGAAATTCGAATTATCGACCCTTAACTACTGTGGTATCCCAATCCGGCTAAAAAGCTCTGGTATTGAGCGAGAGGCCTCGACGATATTAGATATAGCAGGTATAGTGTGGTTGACATATTATTATACTCCCTTCTTTACTTTCACTCAGAAGTCCTGATAATAATTATTAAAGTAGTCTTTTCCCGTTGACGCAGTGGCCGCTTGACCTGGTTTGCCAGTTCTTCTGAATAATGAGTAGGTTAATTCAAGAAAATGAGAATTAACAGTATATGGTGTTCAATTAAATAAATAATAAAGTGTTAAAAAAACCTTACCATAATTCTATGGGGTTGTGACACAAACAGATAGATCTCAGAAACGTATTGTAAAGATTGAATCTAAACATCATGTTGCACAAATACCAGTTCCTCTCAAAAATGTAAGAGAATATACTATACAGAAACCATCTCTCAAAAAGAAATGCAGAGCATACATTATTGTACAGGTATCAGTTCCCACCAAAACAAGTATAGACATCAGTTATACGATATACGGTATATTCTAAAAGTTACGGATTAAACGCAGAAAGCCGACGAAATATTGGAAAAACCAATAGGCCTAATAATTGTATTTCGCTGGCTTTCGTTTATTAAACCTTAACTTTTAAAGTATTATACTCCTTATATGAATATACATTCATAATCTTTAGTCTCTTATCGTTTAGCCTAACTGAATGACGAGTTCTGTTACTGCACGAAAAGATTATTGGGCAATGACAAATCTAAAATGCTATTTTTACACACTGATTTTGAGCCATATTGGTCAAATTAAGAGGCATCAGTTCTCACAAGCCAATGTACACAATATATGTATTGTATAAACATCAGTTTTCACAAGACAATGTACACAATATATAGATTCTATATACATTAGTTCTCATAAGACAATGTACACAATATATGTATTGTATAGATAATAGTTCTCACAAGACAATGTACACAATATATGTATTGTATAGATAATAGTTCTCACAAGACAATGTACACAATATATGTATTGTATTTACATTAGTTCTCACAAGACAATGTACACAATATATAGATTCTATATACATTAGTTCTCACAAGATGTATTAAATATGCCAAGTGTATTTTGAATGTTTGTTAGCCACTACATAACCATCAAGAAACTTCTCAACTGTGACAAGTATGTGTAGTAGCGTAACGAAAGAAAATAAATGAAGAAATATATTTTCTAACAATTTCCACATATATAACGACAAGTTAAAAATATGACTGATATATATTCCAATCTTATCTTTACTATTTACACACGTATTCTGCGGTTGAAAAATGTTTCTGTTGAAATATTATATCAATTGAAAATCGTTTTAAACCACATTATCATTATAAATATTCGTTAACAGAGTATTTCACTAACTCAAGAATTGAATTCCATTTTGTACCTGTTTGTAGTTTTTATTTCAGAATATTTTGATAACCAGTCCTAATATAATATCTAATCAAAAATAGATACAACCTCAAAAAAGCTGTTTAATCCCAAAATATATTCGTGTTTTCAAAAACACAGGCGTTCATTTTAATTTAAGCAACTTTTTTTTTAGTTCGAATAAGCATAATGAACAAAAGTCTGTACTTGATAATAACAAGGTTATGAACTATTGCATAGTTTCGTATTTGTCCACGTTACGTTATTATTATTATTATCGTCACCGGTGAGACAGAGGTAAGTTTACGGACTTACAGCGATAAAATCCGAGATTTGATTCACCGCGGTGGACACAGCAGATAGCCCAATGTGGTTTTGCTCTACAACAGACAACCAAGCAACTACATTATGCTCTATTGTATAGTTTCGTATCTGTCTATATAAAATATATAAGATTATTATGAGATTATCCACTGTTGCATAGTTTTGTTTTATGTGTTAGATTATTATGAGGTCATTATCTGTTATATGGCATTTTCTATTGTATAGTTTCGCATCTGTCTATATTACATTATTTTGGGGTATGTTATACTATAGAGTTTCGTGTGTTCCTTTATTAGATTATTATAAGGACAAGTTCTTTTGTATAGCTTCGTACATTTTTATATTAAATCATTATGAGGGCATGTTCTATTGTGTAGTTTACCTGTTTATATTAGATTATACTGAGATCATATCCACGGAAAGCTTAAACAAAGTGTGAATTTTTCAGGCTCCAATATTGGTTATTACTCATTCTAGGTATCTAACTTGTAAAAGTTAGGCAAAATTATCTTCTTTTCAGCTACTCTAGATACGGAATAAAATGCTGGTAGATGAATAATGAAATAAAACTAATTTATCAGAAAAACAAATATAACACATACTTACCAGGGTAATATGTTACGCTTCTATGTCTCTGATAACCTGCACCAGGGAAAAGAATAACACATTCAAATCGTGTAGCGCCGTCTGGTGGCAGATCAGTATCTCTTATCTTATGAGTAACTACTGCCCGATAAGTATCACCTTTATCTGAAATTTTGGTTACCGTGTCAGTTATGATTGTAGGCTTGCTTTCACCGGGACTCATACGATATAAGGTTATTTCAGGTACTGGATAGACCTGACCCACTTCACAACTTAACGTGGCTAGATCGATGGCCGATTTGGTGTAATTAAATCGGAGGCATTTGGCTGGTGCTAGAGAAAATATGGAAGAAATTACTAGTGAGTTGGGAAATGATCAAATTGTATCAATTGTGAAAAGCAAAAATTAAAATAATTGATAGAGCATGTGTTTGAGGAATGACATTTTTACTTCAATACATATATGAAAACAAGGTACTGCTAGGCTACAAACTATCATCACTATAAAGTACATAACAAATTAGAAATATTTGATTGAGACTAAAAGACAAAGTAAATATCACCACCATAGACTACAAATCCAAGTAAGGATCACCACGCTACACTACGAACCAAAACAAAGATCACCATCCTAGACTACATACTAAAGTAAAGTACATCCTTCTGGACTCCAGTCTAAAGTAAATTTCATCGCTCTAGACTAAAATACTAAGTAAATATCACAACTACACACTAAAAACTAAGATATAGATCACCACTCTGGAGTGAATAATGAAGTAAAAACCATCACTCTAAATTACAAACTAAAGTAAAGGTCACCACTCTAAATTACAGATCAAAGTAAGGATCACCAATGAAGACTACAATCCAAAGTAAAAGTCACCACTCTAGATTAAAAAACAAAATAAAAACTACCATTATAGACTAGAATTCAAAGTAAAGATCAACTTTTTTTTTACATTTATAGTTTGTGGATATAGATTTGGAAAGATTATTGGAGAAAGTTATCAAATCAATTTTTGTGCTTTCAAAAGGGTTTTCTCCTATACAAGTAAAACAGCCCAACAGAATAATTTCACGATGACTAGAAAGTAAGATACTCTTTACACCAAACGGTTGTTTGAGGGAATATTTGAAATTTGGCTTTTTTAAAGAGCACCGTGAATTCACTAAATAGCATCTTAAAAATAATTTTGAAGAATTGTACGTGTAGAAAACGAACAGTTTGTTTTAAAATTTCTTCTTGAAAGTTTATTCTAGTTCTATGCACTTTTTCAACTAATAAAAACCTCCTTATGTAGTTGAACGTCGGAAACTTGCCAGCATTAGTAACTAATAGATCTGTTATTTTTTACTACGAATATTAAACCTACTTTAGCTGTGTATGTTAACATTTTATATTGTTAAAAGTCAAGAATACTTGGAGGACAGCACTTCTGCTGAGTGTTATATACTTTTAACAACATTCTTCGTACATATAGATTTGGTTGAATGTTTTCAATTTATAAGCATCACATGTAAAAATAATATGTACATTGGGCATCCACTTTTACAACTCTTACAATTTATAACCTTGAATAAAGTTCTTTAACCAATTATAATTTAAGTAGTATATTAATTACCATGTGTCCCTTTTTATTATTTCATTATAATATTTGTTAGTTAAAAATTTGTTGAATGTACATTTTAGTTAAAATATTTGTAGAAGTCATATTATACACAGAGCGGTTTAAAATTATATATGTATTAAACAGCTGTATAAAATTGCATATATGTCGATGAATCAGCAGTAGTTTGGTATGCATGTATATTGCAGTTCGACATATTATATTTTATGCAATAATATATTAACAAAATTAAACTTTGTAAGTAATACAAACAATAGCTGTGCTCTGAGCTCAGGGTTCCATTCATTATAGCCTTACAAGTGGTATTATACATTAATTCATGTTTACGAAAATATATTATTATTACTGAAATATTTAGTTATTTATAAGTGAAAATATTTTCAATGACTCGTTTTAGTAGTTATGAAAGAAATATATTATTATTGAGCTTTGTATTCGGTTACTAAAATAATTTACTACTAATGAATAGGTTAAGCATGTTGTGAAATGAGTCTAATATTCTTCATTTATTCAAGTATTTATAAACGGAGTTTACTGTATTTAGTTCATTAAATATTTGGAAACATAAATGTTATGAATGTTGGATCTTAGGAGTTGTTAGAAAAGGTTTATTGAATTGCCTATGGTGGTAAGAAAATAGTTTATTTCTTAACGTGAGGAATAATTCGTTGGTTTATCATATGCAATTTTAAAGGTTTATGCGGATTTTCTTTTCAAATTACTTGCACGTGCACACTTTGTTAATTAATCACTTTTCTTTTTAAGGAGTTTCATATTATATATATATATATATATTATTTTTTTACCGTAAACTGTCATTTCCTTTTCCGCTGTGTCAAGTCCGTTAAAGGAAGCCACGTGGCAAGCGTATTTTCCACTTAGATGGGTTGTTGGGTTAAGGATTCGGAGGCTTCTGTACTCTGTGAATTTATTGAACGGTGTGACAGAGAAATTCATGTCGATACGTCCCTGAAGTTTTTCCGAAACTAGTCGGGATCCGAGCTCGGGAATCCACTGGTAGATGGGTTTGGGATCATTGTTAAGAAACCATTTCACAACAAGCCGGTTGTCTTTATCCGTCAGAGTGTACACACAGTCCAATGTGACAGATTCTTGAGTCCCGTTTTCTACCCAGCGAGGAATAGATAGCTCAGAAATGTGCAAAGCATTGTGCTCTGTTGAATCAAAGAAGAGTAGATAAGTAAGAGATAGCGACCCATGATAATCTCATGCAAGACTAAATTATATAAACATTGAATTTGAACTAACTAGTCTTCAGTCTTTTCCTGAAAATTATAAATCTCTTTTGGCAAATAATAATGTAGTTTCAGTTTATAAGCAAATATGATCTTAAATAATTGAGGATTTACTTCTTGAGCCTCTCTAGTTTCATGGAATTATTTTAGAATTTTCTCATCCAAGTTCCACGTGAGTGCTTTTTCAACTTATGTTATCGAATAAATTTAAGGTTCGATCCTTTTAGTAGGCACATTTTAGAGACTCTATTGTATGTAAACACAAAGTTATTAAGTACAGAATCATTTCATCGATAAGTGTATTAAAAATTAAATCAGTATTATCGTTTATTAATTGCAACATATGTTAAGCGTTCTTAGGAATGAATTTAGAAAATCTCGTAGTGTTATAAAATGGTGTAACTAGAAATCCTGTATTGTTATAAGAGGTTAAAGCAGGAAATATTATGGCGTAATTAGAGATTAATCTGGAAATCTGGTGATGTTAAAAGAGTTTACAGCTGGAAATATCGTGACTTTACAGCAGTTTAAAACTGGAAATCTCGCAATGTTGCAAGGGTTTACTGCTAGAAATATTGCAATGCTACAAGAAGTTAAAACTGAAATTTGAAATCTAATAACGTTACAAGTAGATAAAACTGATTTTGTTTAAATATTAGAGGATAAAATTGAAAATATCGCAATCTTACAAGAGATAAAAACTAGAAATCTCTTGATGCTAGAAGAGAAAAACTAGAAATCTCATGATGTACAAGAAGTTAAATTGCACATCTTGTGATGTTACAGTATATTAAAATTGGAAATCTCGTGATGTAATAACACATTATATTTGTAAATCTCGTAATTTTCCAAGAAAGTAAAACTGGTAATGTAACAAGTGGTGATTAAAAACGTAGCACTTCCTCTTCTGTACAGTGTGCATTTAATTATTCAGTTAGAAAACACTTCAAGGTGTCGATGTATCATACAAAAATAATCAACTATTTTGAAACCATATAACTGATGCACTGGACAAATAGATAATTAAAACATAAAGTCCAAACTATGCCATATGTTTCGACACCTATTAATGTCCTCCTCTGTGGCTTCTTTTCCTAGAGTTCTAACACTGTAATTTTACAACCTGAAAATAATAATAAAGAAATATAAAAGCAATTATTTTGTACTTATGAGTCGTTATAACTACCTTAGCACCATGTACATTATATCTGAAATAATTTGGCTCAGTTTATTAAATTAGGTAATAATTTAAGTTCTATGGGAGAACTTAAACTTAAAACTTTCTTATTACAGATAAACAAATCTGGCCAACTTTCCAACGAATTGTTATGGTGTGATCGCCCTTTCCAAGCTGGTGAAGAATGATTATAATTAATTATACTTTTCGTAAGACACTGTATTTTAACACTGCATTATTTATCTAGTATATTAGGGATTTTCAAGACTACTATTATTATACACCCTTTTAATTCTTGAAAATCCCTAAGAGGCTAGATAAAGATGCAGTGTTAAAAATATAATAGGCCTAATACTAATGTCCTATTCAAGCATAACTAATTTCCAATGAAATGACTAATTTTACAGCTGATCTTGGATGTCTACCAAACATTCATAAACCATTGTCCATTACTTCCTATTGTTGTTGCTTATAAAGCATACAGCTTTAATCTAGAAAATCCCTCAGCTTGGATATTTGCCCCTATGTCACAAAAGCTTCTGTCAAAAAATTGAAGGATTTCAATTCTTGTGTTTTAATGGTTATTTTTGATATAAAAAAGCAAACATTTTCACAGATGTACCAGTTGAGGAAGCGACTAACTGGACTGTTATAAGCACTATAATAATCTTAGATCCTGTTTAGATGTTTCTGTCATCAAATTGTTCTTTGATTTTTCAGCAGCTCATACCAAGTTTAACTTTCACGGTGTCGATTATGACGAAATCGTAGTTTTAAGTATGGAAATTCTAGTTTCGCCTATTTTACCCAATATTTTTATGATCAAGATAGAATAAATTGCCACACCCACTTCTTTACATTTGCCAGTTTTCTGGATTCGTTCTGTGGATGAGGCTTTTAGATAATCAAATTATAGTAATAGTTTTCTTTTAAATTTGCTTTATAATCCATCTATATATTAAGATTACAGTCAAAAATAAAGTTGATGATAAGCTTTAATTTTTAACTTTTTCAACTGAAAGAAAAATGAGACAAAGCATTTCACTTTTCCGCCTTTCGTAGCGATATACACTGGAGAGTTTACCTTCGTTGCAATTCCTTCCATGATCCTAAATAAAACATGTGTATTATAAAAAAGCTCTTTTTCAAACAGCTGAGACTACTTGTATCTCTTCAACAGACGTTTCTCAATGCGAAAAATCGGTTAACATCTCCACTTGTATTACAAAATGCGCGTCCTTCCAAATCTCCACTTGTATTACAAAACGCGCGCTATTCCAAAATGGTAAATAATACTTTATCGTCCCTAGAAACGGAATTACATATTCGTTTAAAGAGCCAAACACTAAGAATTTAGAAAACAAGCTTCTTTATTGTGTGTTGCTATACATAACTAAACCTGAACACATTATCCAGAAAATGTGGCCAAAAACTGATAATGATTGTGACATAGATTTTAATGTAAAATTTCCTTTCTTACAAACGTAACATTAGGTCAGGTTCTGACAAGAAAATTTGTTGATAATGACACACCAAGATTGGTATATCAAATTGAATATAAAGATTGAGATAGTTCTTACAACTAACCGACAGCTTTCAACAAAATTGAAAGAACATTTGAAAGGTCCCTCTTTTTTACTTGAACAAATGGTTAAACATAATAATTCATTTGATTTTTCAGATGTTAAAATAATTGTCAAAGAAAATAGTATAAATCGTAGAAAAACTTCAGAAGATCCCTTTATAACAATAAAACCTAGCATTAATATGTATACTGGTGTACAGTTATATTTATTTTAATATTAGGTAGTGCTGGTATATATTAGACTATTACAATAATAAAAGTAATACACTTTTTAAATCACATATATTTATTATTGCAAAAACAAATATATTTTGGTACATATTTCGACCACGTTTAACTGAGCATCATCAGGCAGAATGAAAATAGATGAAACAATAATGTTTATAGACTATGTTGAAAAAACTCTCTTCTATAAAACACATGGTGCATGTCAGTTTTGTATTAACGTTCTATTTAAAGAGCAACACCACCAATAAATACACGTATACATGTATGCACACTATACATAAGATAAAATATTCAACATTATTTTGAAAGAATGTTTAAAATATATCTATTATTATAAATATGCATAAATATATATATATATGTTAATTCAAGCACAACTGGAGGAACATTCCAAACCTTCTTCTTTAGATAAAGAAAAATCTCTGGTCTTAATTATTTCCAGCGACTCTCTTACATTCAGTTCAGTGTAATTACTTATAGAACAAATATATTCGGTCTCATCCCATAGGATACGGTGGTTATAGTTAAGAGCATGTTCTGTTTCACACGATAAAGTGAACTTTTGTAAAGTAGTTTTTTCATTCGAAAGACATTTTAATTTACGAACTGTCTGACCGGTATAAACTTTCTTGAATCCAGACTTGAATTTATAAATTCCGTTTTTGTTTAAAGCTGTTAAGTTACCTTTGAAAGAAGAATAGTTTCAAATTTTAAGAGGTTTTTTTGTTTGTTGGTGAGCACAAAGATACACAATGGACTATTTATGAAGTACCCATCACGGGTATCGACACCTGATTTTTAGCATTATAAGTCCAGAGACTTAAGCTGAGACAGTCACGGAGGAGGGGGGGGGGGTCTTTTCAAGAGGTTAAGCGATTTGGCAGTCTGTATATCTATAAACAATTTCCTATGTGGTTTGAGATTTTAGAGAAATAAGGTAGGCAACTAACTTTATCTTTTTATTGTATCAACAGTTAGGAGTGTCTTGAAATAAGACAAATCTGGTGTTGTTTAATTTAAATAGAACATCAGAAAATTCGTAAACTAAATTGTAACTTGAATGACCACAAACATCGAGTATAAAAACACTCATAAATACTTTGAGTATAAAGACACTCATAAAAATTGCACTTTACCATGTGTAGCAGAGCATGTTGTTCACTGTAACCATTGCATCCTATGGGATGAGACCAAATTAATTAGTTCTCTTTGTAAATATACTGAATTGAATGTAAAAGAAACGCTGAAAATAACTGAACCAATCGATTTTTCTTTAAATAAACGAAGGTCCTAGAATTTCAGTCTTCCATTTGTACTTGGATTAACATGTATATATTTATTAACAATATATTTTGTATATTATTTCAAAATGACGTTGAATATTTTACCTTATGTATAGTGTACATACGTGTTTTGATGTATTTATTGGTGTTGTTTTCATTTAAATAGAGCGTTAATTTGAAATTCATATGCATCACGTGTTTACTTCAATATAGTATATATACTATTGTCTTGTCTACTTTCATCCTAACTGATGATGGCCCGAAAAAATGCGGTCGAAAGACAATAGCAATAGCAAATAACCGTGGTTTAAATGGTGTATTGCTTCTACTAATTAAATATCACAAGGGTTACGAAGTTAGTTGTAAGGAACATCGATTGAAGTACAGAAAGGTGAGAAAGTGGCTGTCTTTTGGTCAGTCTCTAAGGGATTAGGGGATTACAGCACTCTGAGTCATTAGAAATTCATTGGAGTGAGCACCCGCCTTTCTAATGTATTCTGTATAGAGATTACAAAGCCCCTTATGAATATGAAATGCTATAATTTGATATATGAGGAAACAGGTACAAGGTAAAAAGAAAGGGACGGTTCAGCGTATGTTTGAGAAAAAAATATAAAAGCGAGGAGTTGAATGAATGGAAAAAGAA